TATTAGGTAAAATTACGGCGGCTCAATGGTATCAAAGGTATTTTATACTTTGATTTCTTGTAATCAGTTCATTTATCTTAGCTATTGTTATTGCTGTTTCCCTCGACGTTGCTCAAGCCAACAGCTTTTAAAAAATACTGAAGTATTTAAGCAGATGAATTGAATGTCTAGTGCAGTTATTTCAGAACTGAAATGCAATAGAAAATAATCAAAACCAAATGAACATTTTATATCTTGGATATCATACATGTACGGGACCATGTCAAATAAGGGTTAATGAGCCACATGCATCTGATATATCAATTAATTTTCACTTTGTAACGTAAGCCATTGCATATTTTATAGCACTGCATATCGTACTGTGTCTCCCTTTTTGAAGTCTGTTTTAAATTTCCGAAAATTCAGCTGAACAGCACTGAACCGTAATTGATAAAATTTTCGATTTTATTCTCAGGAATGGAAAGACGAAATTCTTACATGGAATGTGTCCGAGCACGCCAACATCACAAGTTTCGACGTCGCCATTGACAGCATATGGAAACCGGACATTACTATATACAATGAGTATGTGTGTTTAAATATTTAACACACACGCACACGTGCGCACACAAGCACATACACACCAACTCATGTAAACGCAAACAGACACAAACACATAGACACACACGTTTACACTCACACACGGGCAGGCAAGTCCATGCAGACATGCGCACTCACACATAAGCATAGATATAAATGTACACAGGAAAAAAAGAAAAAAAAAAACGTATCTTTCACATAAAAGTGATCTATGCTGTTAAACGACATTAATTTTTTTATATACTGAAACCATCCAATTTTCTTCTGGCGTGCGATATAGCATGGCTTTGCATACTATACGTCAGTAGACTAGACTAGACTAGACATCAAATGTTCTGCACAGTGTTGCCTACTTGTTTGAAAAAGTTGAAAAGGCGTATAGACATGCTGGCATGCTGCATGATGAAATGTCATAGAACAATATGTATTCGATACAGTACATGAAGTTGGTTGAAAACAATCAAGTTTTTAATATTACATGAATCATACAAAAGGAAAATAAGGTAATACGCATGGTAAGTGGGGAAAACACTGGATCTTTACTCGATCACTATCATTCAGCGTCAGGTTGCAATAAAAGCTATAAATACAATATATAAAATATTAATTTACCTTTTCATTTGCAGTGCATTATTTTGGGAGGACATTTCGTGCAATGTACGTTGGAGAATAGAAAAATATCCTCCCAAAATTATGCATTGCAATTCAAATGAAAAGGTAAATTAATATTTCATGTATTGTATTTATAGCTTTTATTGCAACAGAGTAAAATACATAGTGACGTACCCCCGTTGAGGGCCTCGCGGTCACTATATATCTTCAGCAAACGGGACCAGAGTAGAAATCAATAATAACTATTTGATATACACGTTCAACATTTTAAAAAAAATTTTATCCATTTATTTATTTATTTATTTATTTATTATTATTATTATTTTATATTGTAATTAACGGATGCTTTGATGTTAAACCATCCTCTTTATTGCAGTGTACGAGATGAGGGGAGACATGAAGGCGGATTTCCCGCCGCCGTCCACAGCAACGGCAAGGTCACGTGGGACTTTCCACTCATCCTGAAGAGCAGCTGTCTTATGGACATCAACTACTTCCCATACGACAAACAGGCCTGCCCAATCAAGTTTGGTTCCTGGCATTTCCATGGTCACCAATTGGATCTGCAGAACAAAAGCGCGGCAGGAGACCAGACGTCATTTGTTCCAAACGGAGAGTGGCAATTAATGGCTGCTCCCGCCATACGAACATCCACTGTCTACGGGTGCTGCCCGGAACCTTACAATGACGTCACGTTTTATCTGATCATGTGTCGTAAACCTTTGTATTATATGTACAATCTGATCTTGCCTTGTATTGTGGTTTTGTCCATGACGGCTGTGAGTTTCTACCTACCGGTGGAGTCCGGAGAGAAAGTGTCGTTTGGTGTGACTGCCGTGTTGGCCATGATGGTATTCCTGCAGCTGGTCTCGGATTTAACGCCTACTCAGTCTGATGTGGTACCAGTTTTAAGTAAGTTGAGATGTCGAATCCAAGATGACTTTAAAGAGAATACAATTCCCCAATAGCTAGCCAGTCAGTTTAAGAACTTTGAATATAACCTAGTATGAAATGAAATACTTATACCAGTAATTTATTTTCTGTTTTTTTTTAATTAAGAAAAATGATCTTTAAGTAATATTCACCCACACATAAAATCCATCATCAATTTTCTTTGTCATTTGAAGTTGAAAATACAGCTGAAAAACATTCACATTTTCCAAATAAAAATTCTTATTGCCAAAGAATCGATATTTCACGAAAATATAGAAGAAAAAGTCCACATATAATTCCAAACAGTATTTCATTTATTTTCCACCATTGTACTGCAGGTATGTACCTGGGCATTGTTCTACTATTACTGTGTATCTCCACCATGAGCAGCATCGTGGTGTCCAACATTCATTTAAGCGGAGAACAGGGTCACGAGATGCCAGACTGGATGAGGAAGCTGGTCTTGGGGTTTTTAGGCACAATCGTCTGCAAGAGGAAAGCAATCAAAACGACGCTTGATGAAGATGCGGAGAATTCTATCAAACTAGAGCCTGTGCGTGTATGAGTGTACTTCTTATACTTTCTTCAATGTTCGTATTTTTCTCTTCCACTATTCGCCATGCTTACTTAGTTCTGCCCCTCTACTTTCTTCAGTTGTTTTCTATCATCAACTATTTGGATCTGTATTTAAAATAATAATAATAATATAAAAAAGTTAATCTTAGCCATTAAAATACATGGGAGCTCATTAAAACTTTACTTTAGTACAACGTCTTGATCATAGCCAATAAGGTAAGCAATTTTACTTCTAATTTCAGAGCGAAAATCGAAATGGACGACTGCGGCTTTCATCAAACGCCGACATATGTGGCAGCATAGCGAACGGCAGCACCTTCAGCATCCGAGACAGTAGAAAACCACCGTATTTGACCCACTTCAGCGCTAGCATCCCTTGCAACTCTCAAGACGAAATGAGCCTGCATGGCGAAAGCGGAAATCCCACCGCCAATTCCGCTGCCACCACGCTTGTGCTTCGCCAGATTTTAAGCAACCTGAAGGGCGAGGATTGCACCGGGCGGGAAAAGAAAGCCGCAGAGCGCTTGAAAACGGAATGGGAGATGGTAGCCGTGGTCATAGACAGGATAGTGCTGTATACTTTCCTCATATTATCTACCGTGGCAACTATCTGGTTCTTCGCCAACACTCCCCCTTGTGATGGTCAGTTGCAGCGAACCAGATACAGTACGCAGTAAACTATACGAACGTATCTCTATACTTTGCATATCTGAGGTGTTCATAGAAATTATTTAATACCAGTATTAAGTGGTTAAAGAGTTTGACGAGGGACATTTGCCCAAATAATTGTTGTGAAATCCGTGTGAATAACACAAACAATATAATTCTGACGGCAATTTGTATATGTTTTTTGCATTATTTTTGTAACCATCATCTTTAAAGTACTTCTAACATTTAATCCTAATTTTCATTCAATGTCTATATTTTTGATTATTCGAATTATTATATATTCACTTTGAGAGGTTATCGCAGTTATAGACTTAATCTTTACTGCATTAATCTTTCAAAAAGGAACCTTTTGGTGCATCGTTTTGTAATTCCATCCCATGCTTGATTTCAGATACAGGGATTTTGTAACTAATCTTACTTTAAAATGATTTCGAGACTTTCTGCTTTACAGTAGACATATACTTAGACACATTTTTTTGTGTTTTACTCAAGTTTGATATAAGAGTAGGTCATAAGGGAAAAGCCATATAGACATAATAGACGAGTTGAGGGGAATATTTATAATCAAAATTCATGGAGAAAATGATAGACAGCAAGTTTTATTTTTATTTCGTGGATAAACATCACTCATCACATCCAGTTACCAGAAAAATGATGAAAAAAATTTTGAAATTTGAAAATTTGTTTAGGATTATGAACTCATCTCATTTTAGATATATGTTGCATTTTACAACTTTTTTTTAAAACGGAAGACTGGAAAGTCTGAAATCATTAAATGCTGTGAGTGTATTCTATTTTTCATTTTAGGCACACTGCTTTTTCATAAAAATTAAGGCAAAATGTTTTTACTTCATTTTTTTTTTATTTTACCAACACTTATTATCTAACAGTAATTGCTGTTTTGATAATGTTTTAATATAACATTTAAATAACATGTAGCAAATTGCATTATGCATCAATAATAAATGTTCTGATAAGTGAATACTGGTTACTTTTTCCCCTTGATTACACTAACAGAAATAGAAGTATCAGAGTTTCCAAACAGGTGCTCATCACAATTAAATAAGAATCAATTCTTAAAAAAAAATTATTTTAAAATCTCTCTCTCTCTCTCTCTCTCTCTCTCTCTCTCTCTCTCTCTCTCTCTCTCTCTCTGTGTGTGTGTGTGTGTGTGTGTGTGTGTGTGTGCAAATCACTTCCGACGTTTATATAAATTGTGCAGGGTAACGGTTTTCATTTATGTACAACAGAGAATATGTACATACATGTACATATATATATATATATAACAGCTGAAAGATCAGCTTTTGTTAGCAGTGCGGTTTTCTTCTTTATCTCGCTGATATAGTTATCAAAGGAATATTTCTTTAAACCAGAATAAGATCACCTAAATATTTCTTTAAACCAGAATAAGATCACCTAAATATTTCTTTAAACCAGAATAAGATCACCTAAACATGAAATGCTGATCCCAGATCTTCCCAGCCTCTTCTTGTCCATCCAGATCTTCAAAAATGAATTACGTTGACAATACCCATACCCACGCAATTACTGTATGTTACCAATGTATACTGACCCCCCTCCCCCAATTTAACCCAACATGTTTAAATAAAATAACATTCCTAACCAACTCAGGGTTTGTCCCCAAAACCTACATAAATGAAATCACTAATAATTTATTAGACATTTATAAATACAGGTACAAGAATATAGACCATGTTGTATTATATAAAGCAAGTAGATTTATGTGTATGAGATATAGTAAGAGTAAACAGTAATAATTGTTTAATAATAACAATAATGATAAGTATAGTTTTATCAACTTTATCTACTATACATGTATAATAAATGTATGACATATTTAGACTAGTACGGTATGGTTTAATTACTAACAACAATATCAGTAGGCATAATTAATATATTTCATCAACAATATCTAATATAATTATGAAATATCTAGAATAATAAAGTTTGAATTAATAAAAAATAGTAATGAGATGCATGATCATCATTTAAGTAAAATCCAATACGATAAGTATGAAATGTATAGAACTCTATGGTCTAAATAAAATCTTAATAATACTGATACTAATTATAATCTATACTTTAAATCAATATTGTTTAAACTTGAACTTGTGGTATCCCTAAGTACCACACCTAAACAACTTAGAGAAAGCTGTTCTCATATTTCTGTTCAACGCCCAGTAAATTATGGGATTTGTCATAGAACTAAACGTCATGATCTCGACTGTAATGTTATAGAAAATACCAAATGTTGCAACATCGTGCTGAAAATACTTTTCTAAAAGGAAAATTAACGCAAAAGGGAGATACAGTAGAGTAAAAGTACTCAAAACAACGGCCATCATTATTGCTAGTTTGATTTCAGAGTTGTCCTTGACTGGCTGGGATTGCAGCTGTTGTGTTAGTTGTTCCACCTTGTGTTGTTCCATCTCAACTGGCGCAATGCCCGAATTCCAGGCACAACGAAGACGTTTCGTCTCAACTTCGGTCGTAAATTTTTCTGGGGTCGTTTGCCAAGCCATGGTAGAAGCTGAATGCTTACGACAGAGGTCATGGTGTGATGATGCCACATCTGGTGTTGATGTTGCGATGAGGGACGACCTCCACTGTGGTGCTGACGTTGGATCTGAAAGTGCGGTTAGAGGTGACGTCATATTTGTCGATGATGTATGATCTGACGTAGTATTCTCTTCCGTTCTTGCACATAACGTCAAACTACCGTTTAACTTTCTATCTGGTGTTGAACTGGCTCTGGCGGGGGTCAGCTCAAGAGATCTGCGTTCAACTGGTGTCAACAATGACGTCATATGTGAGTCGGCTGTTGAAGCGACTGCTGTATCCAATACTAACTCTGCTGAATTGGGCTTCTCCGTTTTCATTACAATCGACGTAGAATGCTTTCCTGGCCCCTTGCCTTTCCAATGCTCACTTTTATTAATGCTAGATTCACCCTCTTTGTCATTTTTAGCAGATGCGGATATTTTGGTGTTGAAATCGCCTTGGTCCCCTACAGCATGACTCTGAGAGAGATGCGTCACACCTGCATTGGACTGAGAAACGTGGGTGTTATAATTTGATGGTCCTGGTATGGGCTCCATATCAAATCCTTTATCATCGATCGAAGTTCTTTTGTCTTGCGTCTTCTGATCTCGACTTTTTGGCTTTTTTAATACAGGGCTTGAATAGTGTTTAACCTTTCTTCTTTGGTTCCGGTAGAATCGGAAAATAGCAATATACAGTCCTGATCCAACGCATATACAAATGGGCAGATGCGGCACCACAATACTGCGACTGTAATCCGGCTGGACTTTGTACCCTCGGCACTCAAGGTTCGGCTCCCAGCTATTCCAACCAAACATTGGCGGCGAACTGATGACAACGGCGTACAACCAAACAGATACGAGAGCTAGGATTAGTCTTTTACGAGTGATGTATTTCACATGCGTCGTGTAATGGCATATTTTCACGTACCTTTCAATCGCAATGAACAGCTGGTGCAAAAATGAAAGGCCGACCAAAATGGTGCAGACGAACATTTTTACAAGGCAAAAATACCTGTCTTCGGACAGTCGATTCAACTCTGGGACGTTGTACACCAAATATGCTGAGACTATATTATACGGCGAGGCTATCACACCAGTTAGAAAGTCGACGGTGGCCAAACTAACGATGGCGTAATTTGATGGGACACGGACCTCTCGATATTTGAAAAATGTCGCCATCACGACTCCGTTTCCCAGAATGATGCCAATAGCCAATATGGTATCTACGAATATAAATGGAACGCACCCGAATGATTTACAGGAACTGGTCGGCGTGGCTGTGTTGTTTAAGTTTATCTTATGAGACATGTTGAACTGCCACTCCTCTTCACTTTGGTTTGACATCATTTTTTTTTAGATGTGCCGTTAAAAGTTAAAACAAATCTCTGCGAAAACGGTTTAGACGTGGTCAAATATCAAATGTCCAATTAAGTCATGGTCGTGATAAGCTGAATTTCTTTTTTATTTGTAGATCCGGAAAATTGTCCATAAAATCCCGTCAACCTCTGTTTTATTCATTCTTCATTCTGTCTCCCTTTTCTCAAGCTGAAAGTTAAGGCGTCTCGAGTATCCGCAACCTTTCGACTGATTATTTCATAGACAAAATATAAATCGCGTGTCTTTGCGTGCCAAGCTCGCCACACGGCTCCAGTTTCAGCGACTTATTAACTGTGGGAAGACATATTATTGCTATGAGACATCAAAAGTTATATAAGGAAGAAATGCAAAATTGGTTATAACTTTGAAATACAATTCACGTGTACCTACATACATTTTGCTTAAAGAAACACCTGTACAGAAAGATGTATAGTGTAAATACCGGTAGTCCGGTAGTATACATGAAATTAAATACTGTGCTGTAATTTATATAAATATTTTGATTTAACAATACAATCTTACCTTCGTACTTATCTACATTTACCCAAAATAAAGCAAGTTATGAATAAAAAAGAAGGTAAGATTTACCTGTTCGCTGCGCAGCGGTTTTAAGTTGAATGATCTATACGCCTACTTTACCTACATTTAATAGGAACATAGCTATGAGCGCAATCTACAGTGTCTCCCCCTAGGAGAAAAAAATTCCATTCTTATTCGCTCAACTCTAACGAATAGATTTATATTTCTAAATTATCACAAAACACTGCGTAATGAACGCAGTCCGCCCACGTATCAAAATATATAAAGACCCAATTTTTACTGACTGATAACTTCTGGGATAATTATTTCGCTGTCACTGTCCGTCACCCTCCATGCTTTTTAAATAACCCGTCTGGCATACGGCTAATTTATCGGCGGCGGCAGCTCCGATCTCAAGCTACGTCAACCAAAAGCGTTAACGTTTTTGGCAAAAGGTGAAAAAAAGAAAATTTGAAATTTATATATTTATAGGGGCCTATATAACGATGAATCGAGACTCGAGTCTGACATTATTTACATCAAGTCAATGCACATTGTGTGTTATTTATGGCATCTGAATATGACGCATGCATCGTCCTTTTATTTCAGGGTCTTTTCATAATTGTCTTATACAATAGGTGACTGACCTTGATTATACATTATTTTCGAATTATTGGAAAACTATTTCTAACCTTGATATAAAAGAATATGTGTTCATCGTATTCTGATGAAAGAAGTTTACGGTCTTTTGGTTGGCGAAGTGAAGGCAAAGGGGAACACGTAGTGGGGGGGGGGGGGGGGGGGGGTCAGCGGTTAAATATACATTCCTTCCTGAGTTAACCGTATTCCTTCCCGAGTTAACCGTCGTTGNGGGGGGGGGGGGGGGGGGTGGGGGGGGGGGGGGGGGGGGGGGCTCAGCGTTAAATATACATTCCTTCCTGAGTTAACCGTATTCCTTCCCGAGTTAACCGTCGTTGCATGATAGAAAAAAGGGAAACTAAAACGAACACTTCAGACCTCCCCTTCCCACTCCCCAGTTGAACTATTTCATCTCCATGTTACTTGCTGTCTACCCATTTTCTGCTGAACGTTATAATAATAATAATAATCTGTTACGATATTTGTACTTATTGCTACGAAAATGATCAAACATTGCACATAGTGTGTAATACAATATACAGCGATAACTAGCGCTATGATACAATAAGGCTTACTGTAAGGTTTTTATATGGATGCACATTATTTCCCACTACATACAGCAATAAAGACGCATTACAAAGATTTGAGTCTGTGTCTAGTTGTGGGCTTTTAGAGTGAGGCAGTTATTATTATTATTATTTTTTTTTTTTGCACAGCTTGGTTCCACATGGTTTCACATGGTGATAATCAAGTGAGTGATAATGCGCTAGAGCTCGACCAGCGCCAGAGATTGATTTTCACTGGATATTTACCGATATGTCTGTCACTTATTATGTGCACTTTTCCGTACTGTGAGAATTTATGTGTGGAATTGCCTTCATCATTCAGCTGGCTTCGTGTAGAGAGTCTAGTGACAAGAGCTGTGGGTTATATACCGAACGACACAGTCTATCCTTGAAAAAAAGAAAAGAAAAACTGCTGCGTCTTCTACATGTACTTTATAGCACTCAAGGTCTATTTTAATGTACAAGAAATATGGATATTTTGTAGACCTGTGTAAATCGATACTCAAACAGTATGTCTATATGTATGTTTTTTAAGACGTGTTACATATCACCAGCTCAGTTCGTATGTAGTATGTAGAAAGAATGCTTATACAATATTTTCCAGAATGACTTGCTCCTCATTCTCATTTTTAGTCAGTTCGATCAGCTTTTATCTTCACTTTTTGTTTGTTTAAATTTGGTCTTCAAATTTTTTGTTATTAACAATTTTTTCTGATTATGACAAAGGTCACCACAACTTGAAATAAACATTCTGGTTTCGACTGATCATTACCATTTGAGTTAAGAAACATTAAGAGAACTGTTCGTCTTTCTTGTGGTTATGGTCATTTACTCTTTCAAAACAATATATCTATCATAATTATTATCTTTAAAATATATATATATATATATATATATATATATATATATATATATATATATATATATATATATATATATATGTCCTGACAAATTATTAATTTAGACAAATTATCCTATATTAATAACAGTGGCTCGTTGGTCTAGGGGTATGATTCTCGCTTAGGGTGCGAGAGGTCCCGGGTTCAACTCCCGGACGAGCCCTATACAAAATACTTTGTCAATTTTTTCATCATGGCTGATAAATATTAGTAAGTATATACCCATTCGTTATTTCGGCAGTGACACGCGGTCATTCAAGTTAAAAGAATGCTCTAACATAAGACTCTGAGTTTTGATCATTTAAAATCAGAACATCTGGGCACATACCAAAAATCTAATAAGTTTCCAATTGGGGGGGGGGGGGGTTAAGTGAGCAAATATATTCAGCCACGGTTCACTCTGCCCCTCATTATCTCAGCCTCATTATCAACCCACATACCTGTACACGCCTACTACAAGCTTTAAGGGGTAATTAACTTTCGTGTCCGCCCGGCTGACAGCTATTTAGCGTGAACCCCCAGGGAGTTAGGTCGATCCAATGTAGGTCGATCTAATCTATGAGAATGGGGTGTTAGTTTGGGAATAGTTACACAAAATACCTGTTGTCAAACATAAGCCCCGCGGGTAATGGAGGATTGTTTTCTGACTGGTTTCCCAGTCGCTTTGAAATATGACTCATCGCGTCGTGGGCTATAACAAGCTGCTAACGTGCATATTTAGGCAGATGAAGTGCTTTTAGGAAACCTTTGACTTTCTTTCGGAGAATGTCACCTTGGCCACTTACTGGTGGGCTAGGAGCATGATGAATTGAATTTTGTTTTTTCATGTGAATTCTTCTAAAAAAAATAGGTCATTAGCAGCACGCAAATATAGTGAAAGACCGCATATTCAAAGTACCTCTTCTTGCGAATGCTGTCTGTTAAATGAAATACAGGTTACAAGGGCGGATCCAGAGATATTTTCTGACAGTCTTCCAAATTATCTTGTTGAACCATCCTCTATTTTTGACCGTCTTCCGACAGAAAAAGATAGATACCTGTCAATGTAAACTTGAAAATCTAACCGTCTTCGGGAAGACCCAGAAGACGGCCTCAATCCACCCCTCAGGTTGTTCTTTAATTGCAATACGAAAAGGTCAGTGCCACGTTAATATTGTAATGCAAAATCTAGCTGATCACCAATACAAAGATGAAACATGATCTACAACACATACTTAGGCTATGAAGAGAAAACATTAGTGAAGTGCTGCAATGCCTGTACGTGGCATTTGTTCATCATCGACCCACGGATAGAGAATTATTGATTAGTATCTGAACCTTATCTGCTGCTTTAAAGAAGTGTTTTATAAGTCTCGATTGTGCTTGGAGGTATATCAAACATAAGATGTGCATGAAAATGATATATACAATTTATTCGACAAACAAAAACATAACAAGCGTATCGTGCCCTTCACCTCATCGAATAACAGAAAACAAACACAACTGCAAATCTACTCAACAGACAACAGGAAAGTCAGCTATAACAGTCATTTTCTCGTGAATATCAATTCAAATAAATAAATAAATAAATAAAATGGTAGGAATGCCAGCATTCATAGCGAAATTAGTCATATTGGCAAAAATGGCTCTACTTCTCAGGTTCTTCTTCTTTATAAACGTCATGTTGATAGTAAATTAGGAAACATTCTGAGATTACCAAATTAAAAGTCTGTAAAACTCACGTCGTGAAGACGACGGAGAAAATATTAACGAGTCACAAATAATATGATAGCATGGTTTCAAACTTGGCTCTTCACTTGACTGGGAAATACTGGAACATGTGTGAAACATGTCATGCCGAGTCTTGGCCATCTTATGTCAGTGTGGGCGGACTTGATCTTTTTCCGTAGTAATGTCTGACCTCGAATGACTGAAACATAGAAAGTGTATTTTAGGACGAGAGGTTACGCAGAGCAAAATATTTTTTGGCAAAAAAATTGATGAAAATATTAATTGGCATTACTACAGAGCAAATTAATTTTGCTTACATAAAGATATCTAATTTGCACAAAGTAGAGACTACTTCGACTTATTCGTAATTGCAGGGATAACATTACTGAATGCTTACATTATGTAGTAACATTGAACATAAATAATGATGCTGATTTATCAATAGTGACATTTAATAATGCACCGCAACAGCGGAGGGGCCAGTCATCAATAAAGAGCCAAATACTTTACTTTTCTAAGACCCCGTTCGCATACCTAGATCGATCTAGCAGGATCGACCCATTCAGCCCATTCAGCTTTAGCTCTGATGTCTGGCACGCCTACTGAAGCTGTTAGGGCGTAATTAACTAACGTTAAACAGTTTTAGTAGGCGTGCCAGACATCTACAATTTAGCAAGAAACCCCTCAGAGATTCGTCGATTCTGCTAGATCGATCTATGTTTTGGAACGGGGTCTATGTCGTTACTTCTTTTGCCTATTAATGAATACTTACAATTGACTTCAGCATCCTGTGTCCCTTAATCACAATCACGTGGAGATGTGTTGAGACCCGCTCCCAAGTTTTTCTTCTCTAAGAGGACCAGACAACGTAGATATGAGGTGTTCGTAGTGGTGGAGATCATATCTCATTAATGCTTCTTCTCATCCGGCTGACGGTGGACGTAGAAAACTTGTCATACGTGTCGGCCTTGATGTCCATGTTGACGTTGTTCACTTTCTTTTTCAGGGAAGGTTCATATGACAAGTAGTGATCTGAAAATGAAAGTAAATTTATGATTTAAATTAATTTTCAGACCCGGTGAATACAGAATGTAGGTGTTTATGAACTTAAAAAATATACTGTAAGAGACATATTATGAAATATATATTGTGTCTAAATAAGGTTTACGTAATAACATAAATAAAATAAATAAGATAATGAATTGGACCATTTTTAATTGTATTGCAATTTTGTTAACATTCTCGCCACAAGCTTAAGGAATGTGTGGAAATAAATGTGAAGAAAACCCTTACCAACTTGTCTTTCGTTGTCGTCTTGTCTCCCGTAGATGCTGTTGTTAAGGATTTGTTCATTGGTCACATCTTGCTGCTTTCCTCTTTTAACTCTACTAATCACGTTCTTGACTTTGCAAACAAAGAACCTGAAGGGACAAGAAGAAGAAAAGACAATGAAATAAGGTATGACTTCGTCTAATTAAGAGTGCATTTTAATTTATCACATCTAACACTCTTAAGCGTTATTCCACGTACAATACTTTATCATTATTTCCAGTCTCCATCTTTTATTTATTTATTTGAGGTTTTTAGCTTAAGTAAATAATAATAAAAAGAAGAAGAAGAAAAAAGAAGCAATTTGACCCAGGAGGAGTTTATGGACAAACCGCCAATCTGCATTAAAACTCACCATTTCTTTTAATGTTCCTGGTCAACGGCGCACTAGACTGAGCAAGGACACCTGGACAAGGACTGACCACCGCTCTGCTGACCACCTAAAACATACAGAATACATATAAAATAACAGAAACTTAACTGATTTTTACATTAACGACAGTTGTAACATTTTAATGTCGGTCTTTAGATCAGCTTTTAAAATTTCATTGTGATAGGTAGGATTATGATATCTTAAATAATTTATTGTAGGCAAGTCAAACAGACGAAATACTCGTTTTGTTTCACCAAATTACGGGATAAAAGAAAATCGACCTGCTTTGTACTTAATTTAAGAGATAGTTTTCAACAAATCAAATGATAATTTGTTGTTCGGTATCAACAGTTATTGGTCAAATATTTGCCGTTCATGTCATTTACTTACCATATTCACAGTTTCCCCGCAGTCCACTATTACTTGGATAGCCGTAGACTGGTCAACATGGTCAAAGGAGTGACCGTTCACACTCAACACACGATCATTTATCCTAAAAAACAACAAATATGAACAATTAGAATTATTCTCTCCTTTTAATTGAGACATTTTATAAATTTGACGTTTTATAATGAAATCGCTGCATATTGAGATGGTAAATTCATGTCAAGAGTCCTTACTACGTTTGAGAAAAATTAACACATTGTTTCTCGTCCAACAGGTATTTTTTGCACATAACTGTTAACTTGTTCGACTCCACTGTATGCGAAATAACACAGAGTGACTTACTGTAACTTTCCCTCTGCTGGTCCAATCTTGATGACGTCAGATATAACGATGGAAGGATCACCATTACTTGGGTTGTCATAACCACCACTTACTGCTATACCTAACCCGACCAGACGCACCTAAGCAAATGAAAATTAATAAATTATCGTGGATTTTGGCGATAGTTTACTGGCGTTATTACAGTCACACTTTTCAATTTGTTTAAATTTGCTCTTAATAAAATTATCTACAATAAAATGTCTGAATTGTGAGGAAAAACATTCTCCGAGTCATTAACCCTGAGCAGCCTAAGATATTTAAAACTTTTTTTGAAATCAGAACTGTCAATCGATATTAATAATTTGGGACAATTAAACAAGTGGATGCTAAGCATTTCAAATTAATCAACATGGTTAGTGACTTCAGGTGATTATCGGCCACCCGCTGAAGCCTAATTATATTTACCTATTATATTTACTTCAGACCGATAATTAGGGCTGGCTTTTTAATTTCCTGAGGTGAGCAGAGTTATGGAGATAATTTGAGTAAGTTATAAACAACTTAACAAAAATTGTAATTGACAAATGCTCCGTGATCAACGTACCTTGGAGATCTTCACGTGATGGGTCTCCCACAAAACTTCATCTTCAACCTAGAAAAATCAAAAATACATATAAATACATATAAAGCAATACATTTGCCAATTTAACTAAAACACACATATAGATGACAAAAAATCAAAACGTTACTTTTATTCAAAATCGACATTTCATAACGGTAAATGCTGTTTGATATTCAAGTCATTTTTTGGGAAAAAATCATTTTCATAATGAGTCTACGGCCTTTTATAAAACCCTATATCACCGCATTTAAAACATAAAAATGTCTTTGGGGAAGACAAAGTATAAATAAATAAATAGATAAATAAATAAATAAATAAATAAATAAAGACTACAAATATAAGTTTCAAAACCTTAAACTCTATATGAGTTACATTGGTTTTTGATTCAAACGTTGATTAGGACTGTGAATATTAGTATACTATAATAGTACCTCACTCTTCTCTTCTCTCTCGACATTACACATCTTCAACTTCATCTTTTTCTCTTGGAATATCTCTTCTTAACTAGTGAACAACTGAACTGCATACAAGGATGACAGGACATGAACTGATGGTAGAACACACTATAAGCGTGCTTTTATAGACAAGTCACCTGTGATCTTTTGACCACGGCAAAAAGAACAAACGAAATTAACGATGATCTGTCTGATCAGGTGGCTCGTGCCGTGCGACATCAAAGGCCCGACATGATTGTTCAATTAATAGTGTAACACAGGTACTAAATAGTTAATTGGAGTTAACTGGGTTACGTGTACCTGTTATATGAAGCCAGTTTACAGGCTATAGACAGTTCATCTCTTTTGTCATACTTTCATGTACTTTGATGTAAGGTTAATTCCTTTGAATAAAAAATAACGGATGCCAATTATATAAAAGTCTGAAGTGAACAGGGTTTGGATAACAAACAGACCACTTTCTATCTCTTTCTTTCTCTCTTTGTGCGTGTGTGTATGTGAGTGTGTTTGTGTGTGCGTGCTAGTGTACCTATTATTTGAAGCCAGTGAGCAGGTCATAGCCAGTTTATCTCATTTTTTAAAATTTTTAGTACTTTGATATGTGGTCAATTCTTTCGGATGAAAGATATTATCAATGCCAACCATATATACGTCTGTAATGAACATAGCTTGGATAACAAACAAACCAAACTCTCACTCTAGAAAGAAAGCGCTATTGTCTCCCAATAAAATATACAATAAAATATTAAATTAAATAAAAATCACTTAATTTCTTAAATTGCTGGATTTTTACAAGTATCCGAAAGGACAGATATCACGAGAACATCAACTATTGTTATGTTAGAAAGTTGCCCTTCAGAGAAGATAAATTATCGGACAATCTTATTTCTTTATAAAAAAGATAGGCCCTACTGGGATTCGAACCCAGGATCTCCTGTTTACTAGACAGGCGCTTTAACCAACTAACCCATGGAGCCGAGATAAAGGAACAAATATTATCGAAATAAAAAATAATAAAGATTGAGCAGTTACAGGTACCTGTTTTGCTACGGCAAGTATAGCGGATGAAGATATCATGTTATGGCTTGTGATCACTGTTTACTGCTTAAAGGAGCACCTTTCAAACAGTAGAAAGGAATATCCCAAGTTAAGCAATAACGACAAATTCAATTTAATCATGAGGAACTTAGGTGAGACAGTGCTATAAAACAGTCTTTAGTTAGTACCCGAAATGTCTCTTTGAGGAAAAGACGGGTGCGATTCTCACTGGGTGCGAGAGGTCTCGGGTTCAATTCCCGGCCGAAGCCTATTCTTCTTCGTCTAATCTTGTATTTTAGCGATCATGGTGGATAAAATAGTGAGAAAAATACTCATCCGTGATATGCAACCAATAACATTTATAAAAAAGAAAATATCAAAAGGCTTTGATTATCATTAGTTTAATTAGATATTGAATATCATAACATATCAAAATTCTCAATAAATTCCCCGTGGCCATCACTTCTTTTGGGAATGAGTGAAAGAAGTATCTATGAAATCCCGCCAGCCATTGTTCCCTCTGTCTCCATTTTTCTCAGCTGAACGACCTCGAGCATACGACACGCTTTGACTGGTTATTTGCTGAACAAAAGAGATCAAATGTGTGTCTTCGCGTGCCAAGCACACCTTACAGCTTCCTTTTCAGCTAGTTATTAATTGCGGGTGTGTATATATATAGTATTACTATTAAATAACTGAAATTTAAGATGATTAAAAAGATGACGGTCAAAAAAGAAAAAAGAGACGCACTTCCACAGATATGCTTAGCAACAGATATTAAACGCGTGTCTTCGTGTGTCAAGCACACCACACGGCTCCAGTTTCAGCGACTGATTAACTATGAGTATGTGCAGTACGTATTACTACAGATAGCAGGATTGATTTTGCAATAAAAACATATATAAATACAAATATATTTATGTATATCAAAGAGGATAGAACAAAAAATTGAAAACACTTCTGTCCATTGTTGTCCCAAAGAAAGAAACAGACAGCATGGGGCAAATGGGAAAATGTTAATACTGGAATCACATTAACGAGAAACGAGTGAGTTATCATTAAACAAAAAGAAAAAAATAGCAATAAATGGAATTAATAAAATGAAAAGGCTGAAGGTTGAGGCGAGGAATGAAATATAGCTTTCAAGTTTCCAGTGTTTGATGTTGCAATTTTTTTATCAACGTGATCAGTGCTTGAAACTGTACAAACTATTCAATTAAGTGTTACTAGACGGTGGCTGGTAGAAAATCGTGGAATCGGTTTAATTTGCAGGAAGTGGAACGTGGCGTTCCAGGCACGTAGCCAACTATTGCAAAAGGGGGATTCTTTTTTCTGAAAATGTGGACCTTTTTTTCATGAAACCTAAGTTTACCCTAATTAAATTTAACCATAGTTGAAGTTTTCCCTGCAAAAAGGGCGATTTTTGAAACCCCCCAACCTCCCCCCCCCCTTATGAAAGCCTGTTAGTTGCATTGTTAAATATAATATAATAAAGATAACGCGACCGTGTTACTGTCAAAAATAATTATCCCATTATAACATGTTTACTGGGGTATTATCAATAAACTTGAGTAATGAGTATAATGTATACTTTAGGCTGATATTGTATATTCGACTTATTCAATTATAATTACGACAGATTAAAAATACAAGAATGGCGTCAAATAAATATATATAATTTATTTAACAAACAAAAACGTAACAAGCGCACATTGGTATTCATCTTACCAAATCAGAGAAAACGAACACTGTTATGAATCTACTCAACAGAAAACAGTGAAGTCAGCTAACAGTGATTATCCTCGCGCATATCAATTCAAAACAAGTTGGTAGGAATGCCAGCATTCACAATGGAACAAATAATATTGGCGAAAATTGCTCAGCTCCTTGGGTTCTTTTTCTTTATAAAGATCACATTCCAAGATTATCAATCTAAGTCTATCAAATTGAAGGCGTGAAAGCGATGAAGCATTCAAGTACGAGTCACAAATGACTCAAGGGCTTGGCTCTTGACATGAGTGGGAAATATTGCTACATGTTTGTCACAGACATTACACGTGTCTTAGAAATATCAGTAAGGGTGTGGTCTCTTCCGACAGATTCCCGTCACACTCTGGCGTCTGTTGAGGAATGTCTGGCCTCGCATCACTGAAACATAGAACATATATTTTAAGATAAGTTCTAACGTACGGTTTGATTTTTCCCAATAAAGTAATATGATGGAACTATTGACATGAATACATAAAAGATGAAATCCTCCAACTGACAACTACTGACACAAAAAAACTTATTTACAATTTTAGGCATAGAATAATTGACTATTTACATTTTGCAGTAACGCTGACAGTGAAGAACCATACCGATATATCAAAAACGACTTTGAAACGCACATGAAACAATGCTAATAAAATTGTATTCGACATAGTTCGTTTTATCATTTAACATCCCTTATCTTATTATGGATTATTATACTTACAATTGACGTCAGTATCTTGTCTGTCTCAATCCTAATGATGTGGAGATGTGGCGAGACCCGCTCTCACATTTTTATTCCATCTGAGAGGTCCAGGTGACGCAAATGCGAGCTGTTCGTAGTGGTGGAGATCATATCTCATTAATGTTTCTTCTCGTGCGGCTGGCGGTGGACGTAGAAAACTTGTCATAAGTGTCGGCCTTGACGTCTATGTTGACGTTGTTCACTTTCTTTTTAAGGGTAGGTTCATATGACAGGTCTTCGATGCCGTGAGCTGAAAAACGATAAAATAAAATTATCAGTATAACTTTCTCAGAGTGAGTAAAAAATGATTTATACTGGAAAATGAGTATATCTTGGGCGTTCGTGGCGTTCAAATAATGACACATATAAAATGCTGTTTTTAAAGGTGACCAACCTTGATCAATAGATAATTATCGTACTGGTAATGTCAATTTCCTATTTTCAACCGATAGAAACTAGAAAAGCTTTGACTTACCAACTTCTGATTCTTCCTTTTCTTGTCTTCTGAGGATACTGTTGTTAAGGGGTTGTCTATTGGTAGCATCTTGCTGCATCTTTCCTTTGACTTTGCTTATCACTTTCTTGGCCTTGCGGACTAAAGAATCTGAAGAGAAATCGAAAAGAACGGTAAATGAAATCAGGTATAACTTTGCCTCATTAAGATTTATTTCCTCCTAATCACATCTAACAAACTTATATTTTTATTTTTATTTTTATTTTCATTTTCTTTTTTTACCTTTTTGTGGAGTCATTAGCAATAGTAGAAAATAATAAAAAGAAATATGACCATGATAATGTACAATTCCAAAGCCGTCAATCTTAATTAAAACTCACCACTTCTTTTATTCTTCCTGGTCACTGGCACACTGGACTGAGCAAGGACTACTGGACAAGGACTGGCCACCGCTCTGCTGACCACCTAAAACACACAGATTACATATAACGTTAACAAAACAGAAACTTATTTTTACATTAACGGCATTTACAACATCTAAACGTCGGTCTTTAGATCAACATTTTACATTTCGTTGTGGTAGCTGAGAGTATGATATCTAAATAAATAAATCAAAGTCTGACACACGAACGATTTGTTTTATTTCACCAAATTATCGGGTAAAGGACTAAAGACGTTTGTTCTATTTAAACAATTGGAGGTATTCAACTAATTAAATGACATTGTTCTTTGGTATCGAAATTTGTTGTTTATATATTTGCCGTTCATGTCGTATACTCACCATATTCACAGTTTCCCCGCAGTCCACTATTACTTGGATAGCCGTAGACTGGTCAACATGGTCAAAGGAGTGACCGTTCACACTCAACACACGATCATTTATCCTACAGCAAAACAAATACATATACAAACAATTAGTTTTATTGTTCCCTGAATATGACATTTTAAAACGATTAAGCTATAAACATGTTAAATACGCATGATGAAAATGCTAATATCACTGCATATTGAGATTGTGAATTCATGTTAGCTTGCTATGTGTAAGAAAAATTAACATGTAATTCGAACTGAAACTCGCAAATTTACATCTAATAGTTTGATCATATTACATCAGAAGTAAAAATAATAATAATAAGGGACTTACTTTAACTTTCCCTCTGCTGGTCCAATCTTGATGACGTCAGATATGACGATGGAAGGATCACCATTACATGGGTTGTCATAACCACCACTTACTGCTATACCAAACCCGACCAGACGCACCTACACGAATGAAATTAAAAAAGAACATGGTCATGGACATTTGGGCAATGTTTTACTGGTGTTGTTACAGTTAAACTTTTCAACTTGCTTAAATTTATTCTTAATAAACTTATTAACAGTAAAATGTCTGAGAAAAACCCAGTCAAAATTGGTGAAACAGAACTAAAATTTCTTAGAGTAAGTAACCTTGAGCAGCCTCAAATATATTTTCTATCCAAATTGTGACAATTTGCTGAGCATTTTGAATTAATCAACATCGTTAGTGACTGAGGTCATCTGTTGTAAACCTATATACACTACGATAAGCCGATAACTACAGGTTTCTTTTTCTTAAGGTGAGAAAAATTATGGAGATTATGTATATATGCATTTTGAATTAATTGCAAACAACTTAACGAAATCTAATTAACAAACACTCCTTGATTAGCGTACCTTGGAGATCTTCACGTGATGAGTCTCCCACAAAACTTCCTCTTCAACCTAGAAAAAGGAAAAAGATAAATTAAATAATATATTTGAAATTATAAAAAAGACACACAAATGACAAAAAAAAAAAAAAAAAAAAAAAAAAACAACAACAACAACATTTTTTAAGTGAAATTTTACAATGACTAATTCCATTTCATATTTAAGTCATTGTTGATGTAAATAACTTTCATATACAGTACATGTCCTGTTTATAAAACAATGTATCACTGCATTTAAAAGATTAAAATAAATTTGGGAAAATACATTTAGATAAGTAGAGGAATAAATAAGACTTCTAAATTCTAAAAGATAGGATTCAAACACACAATTTTATATGTACTGTAAATAGTAATAGTACCTGACTTTTCCCTTCTCTCACGACATTACACATTTTCAACTTCATCTTTTTCTTTTGGAATATCTCTTCTCTACTAGTGAACAACTGAACTGCATACAAGGATGACAGGACATGAACTGATGGTAGAACACACTACAAGCATGCTTTTATAGACAAGTCACCTGTGATCTTTTGACCACGGCCAAAAGAACAAATGAAATTAACGATGATCTGTCTGATCAGGTGGCTCGTGCCGCATGACATCAAAGGCCCGACGTGATTGTTCAATTAATAGTGTAAACAGGTAGTACACTGTTGATTGGAGTTAACTGGGTTACGTGTACCTGTTATATGAAGCCAGTTAACAGGCTATAGGCAGCTCATCTCTTTTTTAAAATACTTTTATGCACTTTGATGTTAGGTTAATTCCTTTGAATAAGAAAATAAATAATGCCAATCATATATTCGTCGGGAATTAACAGAGGTTGGATAACAAACAAATCACATTTTATCTCTCTTTCTCTCTCAAAATAAATAAATAAATAAATAAAAATAAAATAAAAAATGAACAAAGCAAAGTCAAATAGAATAAAATAGAATAATTCTGAATCATTGTTATCTTTGCCTAACTTTTGAAACTGATGAAGGTCCAAACTTATATAAAATATATGCAGTTGTTTTATCGTAAATATCAGTACAAAGAATCCATTGTTCAAAGATGATAAATTATTGCGCAATCAAGTTTCCTACCTAAGCATGTCAATGCCATTTAAAGAGGTGTTTTTCAATTGCTTTAAAGAGTTCTAGCGAAAGAACCTGCTGCTATAGCTATTTAAACCTAAGGTCGCCATTTTACTAGATATTTGCTTTCACCAACTAAGCCGTAGTGCTGAGATGAAAAAAAAATAATAAAATAAATAAATGAATATTTTTAAGTCAGCAGTTATGGGTGATTGCTTTGCTGCGAGAAGAAATATAAAAAAGAAGAGTTAAATATCTGTTATACGAGCGGCTCGTTGGTCTAGGGGTATGATTTTCGCTTAGGGTGCGAGAGGTCCCGGGTTCAAATCCCGGACGAGCCCTGCTACGTCAACTCTTTTGTCTATTGCAGTTTAAGAAGACAAGTCGAGAATAACCCATTCGTGATGTACCCCTCTACCAAATCGAGCTGTCTATTTATCTATAGACATATCTGTGAATATCTGTATAAAATCAATCTGTCGCCCTGGTAGAGGGTATTCGTGATGTGCCAGCAATCCACAACGCTCTAACATTTTTATGAAGCCCTAATCTATCTGTATACTAAATATGGTTGATATTGAATCAAAATTTGACTTTTATTTGGGTTACGCTTATTTAAACACATGGAAACACATGGGAAATGTTTTCGGATGACATACAAGGCATGGACAACGTGTCAAAAGTGACCGAAGTAGTGTGAATGGTATAAAATACACTGTATAGCCAATATCATACACAATCGTCACAATTTGGCAGGATAAAGGTAAATGCATAGTTTCCATATAATAGGCCTAATCTGTTTTCTCTAAGTAGTTACACAATGGAGTCCGTCTACCTGTACGGTGTCCAGGTGATTAACTGGCTTCTCATAACAGGTGAACAATAGGGTCCGTCTACTTGTACATGTATATGTTAACAGTTAACCAGTCAGGTCAGTCCCTTTGATTATGGTGTAATTAGTTCTGTTATTCGGGTCTCATTTGATCGTCTTACTTATTAAAGCAATGACAGTATGATACACTAACGCGTGTAGGCCTACTTTAGAGAGTCATTCGTTTTTTTTTTTTCAGTCATTGGCTTCTTAGAATATCCTTTCAGTGCTCCACCCAAAAATGGTGTAGAAGACGATGGCAATTTTGAGCCGCTTTATAGGCCTACTCGGACTGTAATAAACGCAATCTATATACATGTGCTTTATTTTGTCGCATCACGAACGGGCCTTCAAAGCTCACAATTCCTCACCTTACACAGCATCGATTGTGACCAAGTGAATTGCGATAGATGCGATAACAAAGCTTATAAATACACAAAGCTTAATCGCAACTAACACAATATTTAAACGTGTCTCTGTTCATTTATATTTAATTACCTCTAGAAGAAAATCTTTGATTGTGAGGACTAAAAACACCTGATCTCTACGATAGAAGAATGTTGTTTGGATGGGCGTTTTATGTCATTAAACTTTATATGTGGCCATAAGTTGTTTGATATGAAGTTGCCATAGCATTGGTTTACTTATGTCACGTGACTACAACAGGTCTCCAACATGGCCACAAGTGTGTGAAGGCACGTCCCAGTCATAGATATTCTCGTAATGAAGAGAAAGTGAGTGGAAAGGGTATTGTTTGAAGACATTTATTATGGCTGCAGCTAAAACCAGTGCTCTCCCGACGGTTTTGAAGCAGTACGCGCCAGAATATGAGCCGAAGTTCGACAGGTAAGTTGTTGTCATACACTAAGTCTGAAAATATTGTTGTGTTGACAAGCACAGGTGCCCGCTGCAAATGGCAAACTCCTCAAAATCAATCTCCTTCAGATTTTGTCTTTTTGGCGGCACGTTGGCGTAATGCTCTCTCTCTCTCTCTCTCTCTCTCTCTCTCTCTCTCTCTCTCTCTCTCTCTTTCTCTCTCTCTCTCTCCATACATGTGGGTCTCTCTCCCTTAGCTCTTACGCATTCATTTTTCTTCAGAATCAGTGAATAATGTAGGCTTGGGTAACTTAATTGTTGTTTCCTTCAATAAATCAATCAGCATACCACCACTTAAGTCTTAATATTGTAGTCATGTTGATGAAATCAATGAACTCGGTGTACCTTTACATTAATCAACTGTCCCAGTACTTAATTAGTCAGTGTCAATTGTCTTATTAAAATGTACGTGCCTATGTGAGTGTGTGTGTGTGTGTTGAGTGCATGTATTAATAGTATAAATTGTACTGCATTGTAGCAGTTCAAATAAAGTCCCACTATATAGTTTTATTTAGTATGGTTACTATGCATGCTTAGTCTAATAGACTACCTTAATTGTTAGTATGAATGATTTGTTGTCTCTAAGATCTATTTTGTTGGACTACTATAGCACACTCATTTTTTGTTCCATCTTTGAATTTTTGGCGTTGGTGTTATAAATTTATTTAGAAATGGTGGATTTAGGTTCTTTCAGTTTATGGCAGCCACTATATACATGTAGCACAGTGAAGTGCAGTGGATAGAAATATTAGCTTGTAAGAGAAGGCATCAATCCTGAGGATTGATTTCATGTCAGATATTATGACTGGCCTCACCATATGCTAATGACTTAGTTTATTCATCATGGAAACATTTTCAGCATTTTCTCAAGGGTTAGTCTACAGTGCGTGTATATGTGATGTCTATTTTGCTTACATGGTACAGTGTACTTGTATTGGTTTAAGAATGTGAAGAGTTGTAATAGATTGATTTGACTAAATTACAAGTAGTCTTGAAACTTTGCTAGTATGTGCACTAGTAATTACTTTCGGTTAAGGCTAGATTTATGTAATAGGAGTTAGGTAAACACAAGCTTATTTCAATTGCATCATATTATTTTGGAATCTGCCCTGTCATGTACACAATCATTGCTGCGTAATATTAATTTGTCATGGGTCGTGTTCACATCGAGACTAAGTTAGGCCAAAAATAGTTAACTACTAGTAATCCTTTTACAGGGTGGCCAGATTACATAGCCCCCCCCTTCCCCCCCGGGCATCATACTGTTATTAGTTCATCACATTTTGATCATGCTAAGGCATGTTTTGCAAAAAGTCTTATTTTGTTGCTTAAATTAGTGAAAACTGCTTACTAGGAATGTTGACAATGAAATATTTCACTTTATGCTGTCAGTTTCACCTGTAATAAATGCTATTGAAACATGAAAGTAGGCTACATGAAACATGAAAGTATTATCAATATGAAAAAGAAATTAGTTGTAAAATGGGGAATATGATGTAAGAGCTTGGAAAATCCCCTAAGATTCTTAATGAAATGAAGCTAAGATTTTTGATGAATAGTTTGAAATAAAGACAGCATTTCAATTTAATCAAATTTTTTAGGAATCAGGGCTTTTGTTGCTTGTGTGCCTTATTTTAGTGAACTTAGTTTGGTGTGGAAAGAGTCGTAGTTTTATACGGTAATGTATACTAGTAGACCTGAATATGTACAGCTGTATTGCAATATGTGACAGTACATGTCAGCAGTATGTAAAAGACATTGCCACATGTAAATATGTATATACTATTGGGCTCAACAGGGGCGGATCCAGAGATATTTTCTGACAGTCTTCCACGTGATCTTTGTTGATCCATCCTCCATTTTTTGACCGTCTTCCGACAGACAAAAATTAGGTACTCATTAATGTAAACTTAGAAATTTGACCGTCTTCCGGAAGACAGAGAAGACAGCCTCAATCCGCCGCTGCTCAACCCTCTATGTGAAATCACATTGCTCTCACAGTCACAGAAGCTACTAATACATGTATATGGAGCGACACAAAAAGTATATCATAACTTGAGACAAAAAGAAAATCCCAAAGTATAAGTCAGTTTCTGATTATGACTACTTTAGGAATGAACTGCAGGTTAATTTGACTCATGCAAAAAAAAAAAAAAAAAAGAAAAAGTTGCACATTGGGTAGAAAAGAAATATTTTAGTAAGACCAGATGTTGACCACATATTTACTGTTGGGTGGAGTGAAAACTTTGTTATCTGTACTGTGTATGGGTCAGTTAGTTGTTTCAGCAGAGAAAACTGTTCATTTTAAAAATATATAAATCCTAATAATAGCATACTAGTACTAGTAAACCAGGTCTGCTTTCAGATAGAGTTTGTTTTCACATTCATATTCCATGTTTTAGAAAAAAAAAAAAAAAAAAAACAGTATAGTTTTTAGCAAGTTTTTTTTCACAAAGCCTGTGTGCCTTTATGGCATATGAGAAAATGATAAAAAGACTACATAACTTATTTTCACAAATTTATCATCCTTTTGGTCATAAATTAATTATAAAGCTGTAAAAAACCAAAGATGAAAGAAAAAGAAGAAAAAGCGAAGAAACAGTGATCTATTTTAATAGTTGATCAGGGCACCAGGAGGATCAAAATGTATAGCAGTGGTGCAGGCGCTGGTGTATTAGCACTTTCTCGTCTCTGAACAGCTATTTCTGTCTAGATATACTGGACTGCATAAAGTATAGACTTGGGGTTTTTTCTCCTTTTAAAGAGAATTCTTTTAATGAAAAAAAAGTGAAAAGTTGCTCAGGGATTTTGTCTTAACAAACAGATCCTGATGAAATTCAGGGCAGCTAGTTGTCCATTTCTCTCTTTGTTTCATACCCTGTGCCTTCTACTATATATTTACAGTGGGTATTTTTTCTAGCATAAATCACCAATATGACAAAGAAAATGTTTTTTTTTCAAGAAAAAGGTGACCCCCTTTGAGATGACCCAGAAGAACCAGCTTCCATATCACCCAGTCTCACTCCTCATAAAACCCAATCCCTGTGTTGACTCTAATAGTACTATGAAAGATCAACTCTCCTGACCCCAAAACTGTCACCCCCGCTTTGTTTACATGGCCGGCTATCTGCTGAGGTAGGAAGATAAATGAGAACGCAGCCTCCAGCTCATTGGTTGACAGAGAGACAGGTGTCAGTGCGTACCTTAAGTCTGTCTTTATTGCCCAGTACATGTACGTTTAGGACACGAGGTTTTCACTACAGGACAGGTTGTAATTGTCATTCACCCATGGATCTTCAGAAATCATCTATTTTAGGTTTATCATGGGAACAAGGGACAGTGTCATTGAGTACTAGTAGTAGTAGATTTTACTGTGTAGGAGCACCGCATCTCTGGCTGTATTTGTGGAATTAGGAAATTTGCCATAGCCTTTGGGAATTGCTACTAGTATCAGTTTGTTACCTGGACAAGCAGTGAGAGGGATCAAGCTTTCAGAAGGATGACAATTCACTACATGGGATGTATTGATTGGTTCTTGTTCAGGTACAGAAAGGGCATGTAGGAGGTATGACTTGTATGATGTGTTAATTACTAATACCATGTTATTTGATAGCGTGAATTTATGTAACAGCTGGTGTGTGTTGTAACATGTAGGTTATCTAGTTTGATTGGATGTGGTTGCTGATACCTCAAACCGCTAGTTGTTTTTTGTGATGATAGCACTTGGACAAGCCTCTGTGTGTGCAAGTGAAATTTTATGCGTGCATGTGTGTGTGTGTGTGTGTGTGTGTGTGTGTGTGTGTGTGTGTGTGTATGAAAAGTTGGCTCTGGGAGACATAATTCTATTCCAAAATGATACATTATTCTATACACCATGCAAAAAAAAAAGNTTTCTCTCTTTGTTTCATACCCTGTTCCTTCTACTATATATTTACAGTGGGTATTTTTTCTAGCATAAATCACCAATATGACAAAGAAAATGTTTTTTTTCAAGAAAAAGGTGACCTCCTTTGAGATGAACCAGAAGAACCAGCTTCCATATCACCCAGCCTCACTCCTCATAAAACCCAATCCCTGTGTTGACTCTAATAGTACTATGAAAGATCAACTCTCCTGACCCCAAAACTGTCACCCCCGCTTTGTTTACATGGCCGGCTATCTGCTGAGGTAGGAAGATAAATGAGAACGCAGCCTCCAGCTCATTGGTTGGCAGAGAGACAGGTGTCAGTGCGTACCTTAAGTCTGTCTTTATTGCCCTGTATATGTACGTTTAGGACACGAGGACTTCACTACAGGACAGGTCGTAATTGTCCTTCACCCATGGGTCTTCAGAAATCATCTATTTTAGGTTTATCATGGGAACAACGGACAGTGTCATTGAGTACTAGTAGTAGTAGATTTTACTGTGTAGGAGCACCGCATCTCTGGCTGTATTTGTGGAATTAGGAAATTTGCCATAGCCTTTGGGAATTGCTACTAGTATCAGTTTGTTATCTGGACAAGCAGTGAGAGTGATCAAGCTTTCAGAAGGGTGACAGTTCACTACATGGTATCTATTGATTGGTTCTTGTTCAGGTACAGAAAGAGCATGTAGGAGGTATGACTTGTATGATGTGTTAATTACTAATACCATGTTATTTGATATCGTGAATTTTTGTAACAGCTGGTGTGTGTTGTAACATGTAGGTTATCTAGTTTGATTGGATGTGATTGCTGACACCTCAAACCGCTAGTTGTTTTGATGATAGCACTTGGACAAGCCTCTGTGTGTGTGAGTGAAATTTTGTGTGTGTGTGTGTGTGTGTGTGTGTGTGTGTATGAAAAGTTGGCTCTGGGAGACATGATTCTATTCCAAAATGACACATTATTTTATACACCATGCCAAAAAAAAAAAAAAAAAAAGGAAGTCAAGTAGCTGAGAAGATATTAGCAAGGACAGCTTCAAACAGCTGATAAGTTAAGGACATGACCAGCAGTGAAAACAAGCTGTGGTCGTAATAATAATAACAAAAAAAGATGTCCCGAAATAGATGACGTTTAAGATTAAATGGATGATGTTTAAGATGAAATAGATGACATTTAAGATGCACCAGTAAGATAATTATTAGTACCAGCAAGGGCATCATAATGTAAAAGAACCATTTAGTCTCTAGTTTGAGCGGAGCCATGGTTGAATTGTGGAAAATATAAAGATTTATATGCAATGAAATAAAACATTTAAATTGTGTCTAACATGACTATGTGATCTAAAGTAAGCATGATGAAATGGATTTTATTCACTACTGCTATTTTATCTCCTTACTTACATTTTGAATGGCCATTTTTCAGAAAATTTAATATTAATATTATCATTAAAACACAAGTGGAAAATGTCTAGTTAATGCCCTGTCTTAATAGAACTGTTAGTGCAGTTACTTCTTACTAGTAGTTATATACTCAGTGTAATCAGAGCACTTGACAGGTTTTGTGCTGAGAGTAGCAGGTTCTTATCTCTGACCTGCACATACCTTAGTGTGGAGGTGTGGAGATTTGGGTGCAGTACATTGCTATTGCTTTCTCTGTCTCTCTCTCTCACACACACACTCTCTCTATCTCCTTTCCTCCTTCTCTCTCTCTCTCTCTCTCTCTCTCCCCTTTCCTCCTTCTATCTCTCTCTCTGTCTCTCTCTCTCTCTCTCTCTCTCTCTCCTCCCTTCTCTCTCTCTCTCTCCTTCCTTCTCTCTCTCTCTCTCCCTTGTCTACAACTGCGAGCCTGTGATAGCTTGGATGGTGATGTCAGTTTAGGTGGTTGTCAGGTTAAAGCGTGTGTGTGTGTGTGTGTGTCAATATATTACTAGTGTGTATGTGTGTGGGAGGATACACATGCATGTTTACAGCAGTGTCATTTTACTTGTGTTTACAGCTCAGGATAACACCTGACATAATTACCTATAAAAATATTTGCGTTTCTATTATTGTGACAGTTTATGCCCTTACATCTTATATTATATGAACTGCTGTCTTTATCCTGGGATGTATCTGAAAATGAAAAGGAATTTTTGTATTAATCCAACTTTCGATCACATTGCAAATATGGGTCTTATTTTTCAAAGATTTTTTTTATTTATTTTTTATCTGCGCTAGCGTCACTAGAAAGCAATGTCATAAAATAAGCATATTTCACTACTGTTTAAAATTTGCATCAGAAGAGGCAGTTTGAAAATTGGACTTGATAACATATTTTTTCAAAGTTACTAGCATGCTCTTTTTGCACTTTTAACTTAATTACAGTAATGTTAGTACTGTATAGCACAGTTTATAAAAATCTCCCTCCAGTCCTCACAGTTTCATATGAAAGGCTTTATATTAAAAGTGTAGTCACTCAGTGTTTACATAATTATCTGTCTGTCATTTGGAAAGTCTATGATTGCCTGCCATGACTTTAGTTGTCTGTTTGCCCAGTGTTAATCTAGATGTGCTTTATGCCTCAGAGACCATAGAAACTGTTTGTACAGAGGTTCATCTGTGAGTGCTTTGGACATGTTTGGAAAATCAGAATACAAGCTAAGTTTACTCTACAGTAGATAATAGGAAAATACTTGTAAGTGACTCTTTGAAGTTTTTGAAAACTAGTTTATTGTGATTCGTATACCATCGAGAGAGAGAGAGAGAGAGAGAGAGAGAGAGAGAGAGAGAGAGAGAGAGAGAGAGAGCGAGCTTACAAGAAACCACTGAATATATCTGCTTTATTTTGAATAACACATTTAAGCAAAATGAAGATGCAGATTCTTGTTAAAAAGATATTTTCAAATTGGAACATTATCACATATGTATAAATTTATTCCTTCATATTTGCCACAAGATTGAGACAAAACATCATGTGCAGTGCAAGGCTGTCTTCTCCACTCCGCTGCAATTTCTCATCTCAACCGTCACATCTAACACAATCATATCTCCCCAGGATCACTAGGTGCCAACTCCATGGTGGTCACTCAGTCTTTTACATCCTCTTTCAGTTCACACCTTTATGATCGATCTTTTTTTTTTTTTTGCCCATTTTTCTCCTCTCCCAAACATTCCACACCCATGCGCGTCATTGTGTGGGTGTTTTGTTATACTACAAGGCTTTGACTCCGTGACGAAAATTGCTTGTTCTCAGTTGACATTGTCATCGACAATGAGAGTTCACAGAGGTGAGGTTTCTCATTCACTGTTGGTATGTGGTCTTTTTATATTGATACATCTTGTGTACACTTCCCATTGGTCAGTAGCAAAATTGACCTGGACAAGAATTTGAATTAAGAAACTTTGGAATAAAATCTGTAACCAGCCAAAGTGATGTCACTAGCAGTTTGTCTCGTAGACATTTTGTAGACAATTGGGGTATACTCACTAGTTAACAAGGAAGGGGTTGCCCTTTTTGTTATGAATAATGAAAAGAAATGGCTCTCAAATATCATATTTATGTAGTCTGTTTTGAGATACAAAGGCCTGTCACTGAATTATAAAGTTCATATTGAATACACGCGTCCTCGCTGACACTCCACTTTATTGACTTTTTATGCCTTCACTTCGGCATCTTCATAATATAAATTTGTATGCCAGTTTTGATGCAGTTGAAGAGCCATATGTAAGCCAGTATGAAGAATTATAATAAGTGCATTTTGTTTAGTAGTAGTGATTTTTCATTATTTACTAACTGTTACCCTGTCATCAATAATGTCCTTTACTGTACATTTTTAAAGTGATAGCTTTTTATGAAGACACTGTTTCTGAGCATGTACTAGTACCGTAGCCTTCACCCATGATGTTTGTCAATATTGCTCTGCAGTTTCCTCGATTAAACACCTTAGAAGGAAAACCCTGTTGCTTATTATTCTCAAACTTACAAGTATGATACTGAGAACTGCAATGAAGCTCAAGATTGAAAAGCAGCTTGACTGGATTGTATAAATTCTTAAACTTCTTTGAATCTGAGCAAAGGCTGACTGACATGCAGAACTTAAAAAATAGTTTGTGTCAATTTCGATGTGATTTACCTAGTAGGAGAACTTATTTAAATTTGTACCTTTTAATTGAATTGGAATTTTAAGGATGCGGCAAGCTTAAGCCTGTGGATTATAATACATGATCTAGAAATAAAGGGAAGGTTCGAGGCAATATGGCAATCCCAAAAAGGGTCTCTTTAAGGTGGAAAGATTGAAATGTTTCTATAAAAAGTTCACAGAAAAAAATATTTCAGATGTTCAGCCTGTGGGTTGCATAATGATATATTGAGAGAGAATGTCACTGTAGTAAAGAAGATTATGAAATCAGTCAAATAAATAATGTAAAACACAAAATTTAGACATTAAGTATGCTCAAAATCATGTAACATATTTTGTGCCTCATTCGACATTGTCATCCATCGCCACAAGTTATTTGTTCAGTAATTTTAATTTTTCCAATTTTTAAAATGCTTGAATCTTTCTGTCAATAAGAAAAAAGCCCACCCAAGCACCCAGTCAAGTAGAATCTTCACATTAAGCTATTAAAGTAAATTCACACTTGTGTGCTGTTTGCTTACAGCCCCAAAAGAGAAATTGCAAAAGGGGGAAATTTGACAGTGTCAAGTTCTGACCACAAACCACACGGGGGTGACCACAAGGCAGGTAACCAGAAGACTGACCACCACAAGTCGACTGACCACCACAAGCAGTCAAAGCATGGGAAAGAAGGAAAGAGGAAGAATGAAGAAAGGTTGTCCAGGGACTCCAGTTTTGCTGAAGCGGCACAGAAGGTAATTGCAAAAAAGTATTTTTTTCTTTTTTCATTTTTGTGTGGTCTGGAATAATCCAGTACATTATTTCAGTACTGTAGTATATAGATATATGCAAAACACCCTCGAGCTTCTTAAGCATAGTTCTCTTAATATTCATTCAACTCTGATCCTTACAAGATTTTATAGAATGGCCATTTTTAGCAAAAGTATGATCAGAGCAATTTGATATTGTGTCTGGCATAGTTAATAAAAGATAAATACTGGGTCAATTTAGAATTTGATACAGGATGTTAGATATTTCCTCTTGGCTTGGGCACTGAGATACCAGTGTCTCTGGCACATCCTCTGTCACGTAATTGTTTTAGGCACACTGGTCAAACATATTCCCATGCTGTGTTGACGGAGCAATGGAGTTAAAGCCCAAATGTAAACGGCAAAGATTTTAGCGAGCAGGCTCCAAGCTCTTCACCTTTAGATAGCACCCCAAGGCAGTGCGTAGAATCAACACAGATCTGTTGCATGTTAGATAATGTTGAGGATGCTGAATTAATTTTGTGGATGCCTCATCAAAGTATCTTTAATTGCATAGTTGGTTTTGCACTTTCTGTGAAACTTTCCTGTTTCAGTCAACTATCAGCTTTCTTCACGCTGAGTTCTAATGGGCATGTAGATATTGGCCATTGATTGGTCAGTTTGCTGGACCAATGAATGCATTTCTCTACAGCAAGCAATTAGTAGAAAGAATGGCTTGTGACTGAAACACAAGATTAAGCATACGTGGAAAGTTTTATGGGGGCAATGCTGATTTCTAGACTCCTTAATTTACCTGAAGTCATCAAAATAGACGCAATGTAATCCTGAAATGTGTTTTGTAATACAAGTTGAACAGTGCACAGATTCGGAGCAATGCAAAAGTTTGCACTATTTGATTTTGAAATTTAAATGATCAAAATCCCCAATTAACGTGCAGTATAGTCTACTAGTATTTCATTGTCCTAGTGTGTCACATGCAATTTTAAGTTTTTTTCTTTTTATATTATAGATGTGCGATGCCAATCTTTGAAGAAAAAATGACAGGCTCGTCATTTATTGCATGATTGTGCATATGTTACATGCCCTGTATATATGTGTCATGTTGACCTGATGCTAAAACCCAACCTATATTCTAAGCTTTCTTACTATATTTGGCTTACAAAGGCATTGTTCAAAGAAAATTCAAGCAATTAGATTCTAATTAAAAAAGAAAACAATCCACTGGTAGTGAGTATGGCACAGATTTTAATAATTAATTTATGATACCCTTAATGAAATATTGCCATCCACATTTCATACGCCTACTAGTCTCTTACAGATACCCTTTTTTTTTTTTTTACCTCACATCATATAAAGTATTATTAAACTGCAAAACATGGCCATTTAAAATTAATCCCTATTGCAGAGAATACAATCAGTTATGATATAACAATTATCTATTCTCTGTATATATATATATATATATGATATGCATAGTTGATGAAGGGAGAACAGCACAGCGTATACCACCATTCATGAAATATAAGTCTTTACTAATTATATTTCTTTTGATGATTGATTTGTATGGGAGGGAATTAACCCTTTTCTTTGATGATCATATTGTACATCATTTTAATTGTTTGAGGGTGACAAAGTAGCTTGAAAACCATATCCATCTTACATTGTGTTGCATTATTGATTTGATGACTGTCACATGGAAATAAGTGTATTTGAGTGTTAATGCTGTTGTGTGTGGCACCCTGAATTTCGTAGTATTTAATTTGAGTGTTTATGCTGCTGGATATGGTACCCTGAATGTCGTAGCAACTTGATTGATCTTTTATTTGTGAATCCTTTTCAAACTCGATCACACAATGAGTATTAGACTTGTGTACAGTAGCAACATTTCAGTATTTCCTAGAATTTTCAATACTTAGTTAATCACCATGTAAATTATTTATTCTTTTGATGGTGATTTGATTTTCAATAGTGCATGTCTGATATTTCTTTTCTAATGCATAAAGTTTAAAAAAATGTATTTACGCATATCCAAACAACAATATGTGTCTAGTTATTCCCATTATTGATAATGTTGATTCAAAGATAAAAAGGCTCTAAGTATTTTATCATTTAATAGCAGAAACATTCATTTAAAATGGTATTTAAAAAACGAAATAACCACCCTGTTAACTCCAACTCCCATGGATCAACTCATCCCAGTTGAATTCAAATATTACACAAACAAATTCACAGTAGGGCCTAAAGTGGAACACCCAGATATATATACATATATTTCCCATAGTTGAACAGTTGGCATGTGCGAACAATCACCTCGGCTTCCCGCTGTATTTGTATTTACTTTCCAGCGTGGCTTGGGGTAGGCAGGGAGGTCCGGGGTTATAATGCAATGTTGACTATGCTAATGGCAAGAAGTAAATGGATGTTGACATAGAACCAAAGGTATTGTGTGGGACTGGTGTACACACATGCTTCAGTTGGAGCAAAAGGGGTTTTCGTTGACAAAAAGCAAATTGTCATGCAGCTCGCTTGGACATTTTAAAGTGTGATTTTGTATACAAGATGGCCTCGTATAATGTGTATTATTGTATATATGCATTTTGCAGGAGTTGGAGACTGTAATATAACTTGATATGGGTGCTGGACAATATGAAAATGGTTTATGAAATAAAATTAAAAATAGAATAAACTTAAGGAATGGGTTTGGCAAGTTGCAGAGCAATTACTTTCATGGCTGTGTAAAAGTGATGTGATATGATATTTAGTGGAAGAACAGTCCAAACTAGAGTAGAAATTTACTGGCATTATATTTATACTAGTATTTTATATAGGATGGTTGGCAGTATGCTTAATCATTGTCATTATTTTTAAAATAACCAAAATTGTTTTCTGACATGATTCTCCTGGTTTTTAAAACACTTTTGAGAGTTTTTGTTTATAAGTCTCTAACCAAAATGATGTCATTATTTGGATTAATTATGGTAAGTCACATATTTTTCAAGGGAAAATGGCTGTTAATTGACTGTGGAAATTTGAAGGTACTTTAGAGTGCCTGAAATCATCTCAATAATATACAGTAGTGTTCTGACAAATATGATTTAAAGGAATATAACAGAATTGATTTTGATATGTGTTCAGATTCTATTAAATATTTCACAATATTGTTGTAAATGTTATGTCTTCCACAAACTGTGAACAATACGAAAATGATCAAAAATTCATGGAAATATAATTTTAAAAAGGTTACCCTAACAGAATTACTTAGAAGTATCAAGACAAAAGTGTATACCAGCCCAGGTTTGTTAAGCATCAACCACCCAAATGCTTCATCAATTTAAATATCAATAAATGATTAAAATCAGAACTGGGGTGGCTTGAATTATTTAGGCAATTAGTCTATATGGTCTTTGTGGCAGAACCAAATTGTTGATGTACTATTGAAAATGTATGACAGAACTTCTGGATGGATGCATTGTTTAAGGTACATTTAATGCCATGAATTGTTGCAGCAACTCGCATTTGAGGTCCATATTGTTTAGTAAATTAATGGGAAGAAATGTAAATGATCACTTTGAAAAAGCACATTTTATATAGAGAGCAGTAAGCAAGTATACAAAGAAAGCTAAAAGATACACATTTGAAACTTGCCCAAAGTCATTACTTTCAGTGTCTACATATCCTGCAATGCTATCTATCACTCCCATTGTGTCAGACCTGAAAAAGGATGAAATCCCTCTAATAAAATACCTTATTTTAGTAATCCCTTTTTAAGTATACAGGAATACAACTACAGGAAACATTTACAACTATATCATTTAAAGGTAGTATACTTTCTGTGTTTGAAACTGCCCAAAACTACCCATCTTTCCAACTTCAGATCTTAAAAAAGGATGAAAACCCTAAAATAAAAGAACCTGATGTTGATATTTGCTTCTGAAATGTACTGGAAAACATGGTGGTATAAATAACTGACCAGCCATTTAAAACTAAATTATTTAATAAGAAAAGTTATAAAAAATTGAATCCAAGTTTAGAAATGAGTAGAGCAATGATATTTGTTAGAAAAAGGAAATAACTTACCTTTTCACAGCAAAATTTGATATGGCAGGAAAAGCCTGGATAGGATACCCTAAATAACCTTCTTTAAATAACAGCTTAATGATGAAAAAAACTCTTAAAATGTTAATTTCCAGCACTGTGGTTTTAGAATATTATTAAGATTGTTGCATTGCAGGGGGAGAACATGCAGGCTACTATGTTTTTTTTTCTTTTTTTTTTCCATCGACCAGGTGCAAGTTTTGGGGTAGCATAAAGTGGGGTTGAATGTTTTTGTAATAATTTTTTAATTAAAAAATGGGTTGCCATTGAATGTGAAAAGCTTTTTGTTAAGACATGGTGCTGATCTGATGTGCTTTCCATAACTGACAGATAAGAAAGTGATTAATTATAACAAAATATACCGCTGGCATATTCAGGAAGACACTTCACACGATGTATGTTGTCTAATTAAGTTGTCTGTTTAACTAACACATTACTCTGGTCGGTTGTGCCAATAAATTAATAATAATGGAAGCCACTCATCTGAAGAATTCTGCTCATTATGGCAAGGCAAGATGGTCTGTTATGGCCTAAGCCGATCTGATTCGTAGGGGTAGCATGCAACAGTGCATGCAGTTTATAATTAGAGCTAAAGTGATTTTTTTCTTGATTTTTTTTCACTGTAAATTTAGCTAATGAATCTTTTAAGAGGGCCTTCGCTGCATTTTAGGAGCTTCAGTAACAAACTTCATTCTAAATGTTAATGAAAAAAATTAGGCATTTAGTAAAAATAGTTTAAAATGTGCATCAGATGTTTATACCTTGTCAAAAGGGATAATTTTTTTCAGCACATTCTGTAATTTTTTTTTGATAAGGATATAATGAAAGATTATTTCCCTTTGTTAATCAAATTTCTGTTTTAGATAGAAGTAATCCTTTTATTGATTTCA